TTTTCTTTTCAGTAAACAAAAGAAACTAGTAGATAAATAAAACAAGTTAGCATTTGAAAAAACAGAATAGGTAATTTGGGGAGTTATTTGAATTTCTCCTCTCTCTCTCTCTCTCTCTCTCCATATATATATATATATATATATATATATGTATATATTTGGGTTTTTCTTTAGTTCCTCATATAAGAGAAACTATGTGATATTTAAGCTTGCATGTCTAACTTATTTCACTTAACATTATGTTCTAAAATTGCATTCATCTGCCTGCAAATGCCTCGTTTATCTTTCTTTATGGTAGAGTAGTACTCTATTGTATATAAATCCTGTACCACATTTTCTTTATCCATTTGTCTGTTGATGGATATATACTGTTTCCAAGGTATCGCTATTACAAGTTTTGCTGTCATAAACATGGGGTATACATGTGTCCTCGTAATATGATGACTTGGGCTGGGGATATAGCTCAGTGGCACAGCACCTGCCTAGCAAGTGTGAGGTCCTGAGTTTGATTCCCAGTACCAAACCAAAAAAAAAAAAAAAAGACACCTATCTGAGCAACTACTTTGACAGCAATAAATAATACAACAACCATTGTTGATTTCCTATCATCTTGTTTTAAAATTCTGTATCATTTTTGTAGTTTTTGTTTTGTCTTTGTTTTTATTTTTGTCTTTGTTTTTGTTATTTTGCGTTTGTTCTTTTCTCTTTAAAAGGGGGATAGCTGAGTCAAATGAGATTTCTAGTTTTAATTTTTTTAAGAAATCTCTACACAGATTTCCATTGGATTTACTAGTTTATGTTCCCACCAACAATGTAGAAGGGTTCGTTTTTCCCACAGCCTCATCAGCATTTGTTATTACTTCAATTTCTTGGTGATGGCCATTTGTTCTGGTGTGAGATAGTATCTCAGTGTAGTTTTAATTTGCATTTCTCTAAAAGCTAGTGATGTTGAACATTCATGTGTTTATTGGCCATTTGTACTTCTTCTGAGAAGTGTCTGTTCATTTCAGTTGTCCATTTTTTAATTGGGCATTTTATTTTGGAGGCCTACTTATTGAGTTTCTTATATATTCTAGATGTTAGTCCTTTGTCTGAGAAATAACTGGCAAAAATATTTTGCCATTCTGTAGGTTTTCTCTTCACTTTGTTGTTTGTTTATTTTGCTGTGCAGAAGCTTTTTAATTTGGTATGATCCCATTTGTTGATTCTCAGCATTATTTCTTATGCCATTGGGGTTCTGTTCAGGAAGTCCTTGCCTATGCCTTTCTTCAAGAGTTTTACCTATTTTTTCTTCCAGTGGATCAAGTGTTTGTGTTTTAACATTTAGTTCTTTGATCCGCTTTGATTTTAGTTTAGTACATGGTGAGAGATACAGGTCTAGATTCAATCTTCTGCATGTGGATGTTCAATTTTCCCAGCAGCATTTATTGAAGAGGCTAACTATCCTCTGTATCCTAATGTGTAGATAAACTTGGGAACCACTAAAATAATCTTTATCTGAATTTGGATCTCCTGGTAAAAAAATAAAAATTGATTCCTAGTATGGATGCTGTTTGGATACATTTTTATTCTGTTGGATTAGAGGTTTCTTTATTGATTTATTTGATACACAGATTAAACTTTCCCTCAGTAAGCAATTGGAAAGGCTTTCTCCACTTTTGAGTAATTATATGCTCCTTCTAAAAGGAATGGGTACAGTATCAGGACAACTGATACCCCTAGCTGTGCCTTATCTTCCTTAGAGGAATGGAAAGTAAACAGTCTGGAGCAATTAATGGCTAGTCAGCTCTGAAACTACGAATGTCAAGTAGCAATAAAAAAAAAAAAAGTGATCCCAGTGAACCAAGGAGAGCAGTTCTAGGGAATGAAGTCATGTTATTTTAGCTGGTCTGAACAAACAAGAATTTTCATACCTAACATTTATAAATATTTAAACCTCCTGACAACACTGTGAAGTAGATAGGACAAGTATTACTACATGTTACAGATAAGAAAACTAAGATTCAGAGAATTTGAGTGATTTTCCTATCATACAAAAAAGTGAAGTGACAAATGTTGGAACTTGAACCAAAGTCTGACTCATATAGGTCAGAGTTATTTGAATATTTACTTACTCAGAAACCTGTGTTTGTTCAAGTGAGTTACACTGAGCCAAATACTTATACCAAGTTGTGTTACTTAATTCCAAAGAACTCAGAATGTAAAGGCAAAGACTGATGTGTAAAAAAAAAAAAAAAAAAAAAGGATGATATAGTGTAATATACATCATGACAGAGGCAAGCACTGAGTACTGTGGTAGCACAGAGGAAGGTTACCTAACCCAGTGGAAAGGGGTCAAAGTCTAGAGGGCCTGGTGAGACAAAAACAGATTTACTGAGCATAAGGGGTACAAACACTTGAGAAAGTTGAGGAAGATATTGCTAGAGTTATAAAGTTTCTTTTTTCTTATTTCAAAACAAGTATTTTCCTCAGAAAAATCAAAGTATGACTAAAGCAAATATTTGTTTGTTTGTTTGTTTGTTTATTTATTTAGGTTTTTTGAGACAGGATCTCGCTGTGTAGTTCAGGCTAGCCTTGAACCACACTATGTAGCCCAGGCTACCCTCGAACTCATAGCAATCCTCCTACCTCAGCTTCCCAAGTGCTGGGATTACAGGTATGTGCCCCCACACCTGGCAAAGCAAACATTTAGAGCATACATAATTTGGCCCATCAAGAAATTCACACTTAACACCCTTGTGTATGTCTTTTCCCATGAGAGTGGGACATTTTAATATCAACTTCCCAGAATGGTCTGGTTCCACTGTGAAATAGCTGAAAGTGAGTGATGTCAAAGTCATTGTCATGTTTCAATATTGGTTTTTTGCTGCCCAGGGCTGAAATCATTTATTTTTTCATAAATTTAAGCACACTGCTTTTGTAGGTGTGTGAGGCCGGTGTACTGAATTTCTAACACACAACGGTAGAAGTTTGTCTGTCTGTCTGTCTCCTCTCCCCACCCCCATGTCCCCCTTACCCTCTCCCCCATTCTATAAATAGATCTTAAAAGGGGGTCTTAAAAGCGGGGCTTTGTCTTAATTATCCTCTGCTGACCTGACATAAAGGTCACTTTATTCTCTCAGTCTAACTTAGATGCCATTCCTTCTTACGCATTCCTTTAGCATCTCGTATATCTAAATTATAAAACTTTCACATCGTCATATGAATTGTCTTTCTCTTCTACTTAATTCTTCTAGTTCAGAATTATCTTATTTATCTCTGAAAGTCCAGCTATACATAATAAGCACCATAGGTTTTATAAATGAATAAATGCACACATAAGCATTGCCTCTCAGACTC